CTCTTGTGACTAGTGAGTTTCTACAGGAGATGAGTGGAAGCCATACATCTTCGCTCCTTCCCATCATCTGCTCTGTCAGGAATTTCTCTAGGTATGAATTACAATTATTTTAAATGGTCTAAAACATTATTGAATAATATTGGTGACCAAAGAGTAGTTTCCCTGTTTATCTCTTTTAAGTAAATCTATTCTAGCCTTAACTTTGTCTGAGGTCATGATTGCCATCCCCTGCTTTTTTTTTTTTTACATCAGTTGAAGCATAATAAATTCTACTCCAGTCCTTTATTTTAACTCTATGCGTATCTCTCATTTTTTGTTTCTTGTAAGCAACATATTGTAAAATTCAGATTTTTAATCCATTCTGCTATCAGTTTTCATTTTATGTGTAAATTCATCTCCTTCACATTCAAAATTACAATTACTAGTGTATTTCCCTCCATCCTAATTTTCCTCACTACCCTTCTCACTCTGTTTATCCTATCCCTATTATTATTTCTAACCAAAACCTTGCCCTCTTATTCCTTAATTATCCACCTCTATAAGAGTCCCTCCTTTATGCTCACCCCCTAGCCTCCACCTTAATCTTCCTACCCCTCTAAGAGTCCTTCTCTTATCCTCTCCCCCACCTCCCAGTTCTTAATTTATACATTCTTCTAAAAGTCTCTCCCTTATCCTATCCCTTTACCCTTTTATTTCTTTATAAATTTAGAACTTTTACACCCTTCTAGATGTATATGCTATTCCCCTTTTAACTCACTTCTTATGAGAGTAAGGTTTCAGCAATACCAGCCCTTCACCCTCACTTGCTTCTTCCTATCAGTGCTTCCTTTCACACCTCATTTAGATAAAATACTTCCTTTCTACCTCTCCATACTCAATTTTATTTTTTAGAATCACCCCATCTTACCAAGCTCAGCCCAAGCCTTTTTTTAAACTACCCAAATAATGATGATAATCATAAGAGTACTAATAACATTTTCACACATAAGAAATATACAGTTAGACATTATTGAGTCCCTTATAATTGCTCTTTAATGTTTACCTTTTATTTACCCTGGATCTCATATCGAATTTTCCTTTAGGTTCTCTCACAAATACCTGAAAGTCTTTTAGTTCGTTAAATGTCTTTTTTGTTGTTATTGTCCAGGATTATACTTAACTTTGCTGGGTAAGTTATTTTTGGTTGCAATTCCAGCTCTTTTACTCCTTGAAATATAGTGTTCCAAGACCTGCGGTCTTTTAATGCAGAAGCTGCTAGGTCATGTGTCATCCTGATTGTAGCTCCACGGTATTTAAATTGGTTTTTTTTTTGTTGTTGTTTATAATATTTTCTCCTTAACTTGGGAGCTTTGAAACTTGGCTGCGATATTCCTGTAAGTTCTCCTCTTACAGTCTCTTTCAGGTGATGATCTGGGTTTTTTCCTAATTTTTTTTTACCTTCCTGTTCTAAAACATCAGGGCAATTTTCCTTAATTTCCTGTAATATTGTATCAAGATTCTTTTTTTGATCTTAACTTTCAGGTAGTCCAAAAATTCTTATACTATCTCTCCTGGATCTGTTCTCCAGATCAATTGTTTTTCTATGGAGATGTTTCATATTCTCTTCTGTTTTTTCATTCTTTCAATTTTATTTCTTCTTGTCTTATAACATCATTAGTTTTCCCTTACTCAATTCTAATTTTCAAGGAGTCACTTTCTTCCTTAAGTTTTTGGATCTCTTTTTTCAGTTGGTTGACTTTCTTCTCATAATTTTCCAGATTTTCTTGGATTGTTCTTATTTTCCCCTAATTTTTCCTCAATCTTCCTTATTTGATTTTTTGAAGTACTTTTTTAAGTTCTTACAAGAACTCTTTTGGGGCTTGTGACCATTTGATGTTTCTCTTTGAAAAAGGAATATGTTTTTTAACTTCACTATCTTCTTCTGAATATGAACCCAAATCTTCTCTATCCCCATAGTAGTTGTCTATGGTTAGGTTCCTTCTCCTTTGCTTACTCATTTTTTATTTTATTTTATTTTAGCAGCCTATTATTATAATCAGGTTCTAGTGCTGAGGCATAGGGAATGGTACACCAGGCCTCAAGTACTTCTTGCTGTCATTTTCTAAGCTCTGTCCCACGACCCAACCTCTGGCATTACTCTCTACCCTTAGGCCATGGCTAGGACCTCCTGTCACACTTTTCCACAAAGCTCTTGCTCCCTATGGTCCCTCTGGCAGCTGCAAACTTTTGCTCTCCCCTCTGCCCTGGAACCAAAACCAGGGACTCTGCTCTCCTGCAAGTGCCCACAGCCAGCAGGGTTCCTGCTCTCTGCCACTGCACTTGCTGGTCATGTGATCATTCCTTCTTGCGCACAGCCACAGCCTGGACTGTGTCTGGACAACACAGCTGGGTCTAGCAGCTTGAGACAGTAGAAAGTCCTTCAATCTTTCCCTGTTCAGCTGTCCAACGCCCACACTGCCCATGAGGTGAAAGTTCCTGAGGCCAACACTGTAGCCTGATGCAGCTGCTCCCAAAGCTTGTTGTTTGTTGATTCAGTAGAGTTTGCCTGGAAGTGTTTTTTCACTTCACTCAGGCCAAACCTCCACTCCTAGAGGTGGGGGGGGGGGGTCTTTCCTGATGTCTCTCAAATTGTCTCAGGAGGAAAACTTATTTAACTCGACTTTTATTTATTTCTGCCGCTCTACATTCACTTTGAGGTGATGTTCTAATTTGTTTGTGGAGGAAATTTGGAGAGCTTGGAATTTTCTGACCTACTCCACCATCTTCCCAGAATCCTCTATTACAATTTCTTGTGTGAAAATCATTTTTGGTGATATGTAATAACCAATTTAGATACTCCCATGCATTTTTCCATTGACCTTCCATTATTTATAATTTAGATTCTTTAGAGATTATGGTAACCCACAATTCTTGTTCAGATAGATCTAGGAGAATATTAGTGTCAAAAAGATGGGCTTTGATGTTTTTGTCATGAACCAATTCAAAGTCAAAAGTCCACCTAACATTGGGGAGGGGGACTCCCTTATTTTCTCCTAATACTGCCACAAGTAGAGCACTGGGATTTAGCTCCAGTTATGCCTCACTCTTGCCATATGACTGACCATTTTGTTTTTCACTCAGATTTTCATTTGATGGCATCTTTGACTGCAGTTTTTATTCAAAGTTCCTAGATGATTTTATGGTCTGGTCTGGTCATACTACCAGGTATGTCTCCATTACCCTAATTTCAACAGGAGATAGGTGCTCTATCTTCTGTTGAAATTAGGACAGTCCACTAGCTAAATTTTTGTCATTGTTGTGGTGTAGAAAATTCTAAGCAAGGAACTTCCTTTCACTAATATAGGTCTAACAGAGTTACTTGGGATCCTGAGAAGTTAAATGACTCATGTGGCCCGTTTATCAGAGATAGGACTTGAACCCAGCTCCAAAGCCAGCTCTCTATCCACTGTGCTAAGAACTCATAATATGAAGGGTCTAGAAGTTGCCAAAGGGGAGATAGACAGAGAGATGTGGTAAGTTTTGAGAAGAATAATGCATTTTGCCCAACTGGAATCAATATATTATATTAAAATTTTGTTTTTGCCTTTTTCTAAGTAGAGGGTCTGAATCATTTTTATGTCATAGTGATGTGGATACAAACAGTGCCCTAAGGGTTAAAAAGAATATTAAAGGTTGCTTTTCCAGTACTTTGTGAAGCCACCCACCAAGGGGTTGGAGCTTATTCTGGAGCTTATCCAGTAACTTCAGCGTGTCCTCAAGTCCTTTTCCCCTTTATCTTGAAATGCCACAAAACTTCTCTTTATCTTCTAAGACCAAAAGAATTGTTTTTTTTCTTCTCATCCTGTGTCATAAAATTCTTCCTTAATCTTCAAGTAACATAAAACCCTAAAACTACATCATCATTCTGAAACCTCTCTATAAGCATGACTCCCCCAAATATCGAGGCCTTTCATTAGCTTCTTGCTAATGGGGCCCATGATGCTTTTTCATATAAAATCAAAAGCTCCCATTAGTTAAGAAAAAGTCATCCAAGTGAATTTTTTCACACCACAACGGCTATCCCAAATCTGACCTCAACAATAGATCCCTTTGGCAGTCTGGTGAAGCCTATGGACCCTTTCTCATAATAATTTTTTAAATAATTTTTTTAATTTAAAAATGTTTTTATTTAAGGACATGCTACACTTCAGTTAAAAGTTAGTAAAAATAAAGATGTATATTTTATTCCAAATTCAGGTATCCCGATGAAATCTATCCTTAGTCCAAAATAAAGAGGGATTTCTTATGGTGAATGAGGTCCTCTAGATGCTCCTGTTTGTGGATACATTGAGTTGGTTGCATTAAGTTTCTAAACTCCGCCAAGTATCCCGGAAATGATTCATTACCACTCAAAAGAGTTTGGCCTAACCATCCACAAATTAAATTTAAGGGAGTTTTAGGAAAAATTGGGGAAATTATGAGTACCATGTTTTATAGTTTAGTAGATGGATAGTAGTAGAGAAAAAAAGGGAAGCAGAATGGCCCAAAACCACTAATGCTAACCACAGCTAAGAGAGGAAGACGCCTTAAATTGCAGAAGTGGAAACAGGCATTGGAGTAGTTTGTTTAATTTAATGTACCTGAATTCTGCATGGAAATAGAATACCGATAAGGCCTGATACAGGATACTCCAAAGTGATGAAATTTCTCTACTTATGCCAAAAGAGAAAGAATCAGAACAATCTTTCCCACTTTAAACATGGGGGTGGGGGAAGAGTGGGTATGCATTCTTTTCAAAATCAGAGCAGTGGCAGTAAGCAGGATTATTAAGCTACCAATAAAAAGAGGCCTGAATAGAATGTTTTCCTTTTGATTAATAAAAAGGAGAGGTTCGATAGGTGAGAGATGTGGAGTACACAGGCAAGAGTGAAGAAGCCAACAGTAAGAAAAAAAACGAGGGTCAAAAAGCGAATGACTGACGAAAATTCCCTCCAATCCGCATCCCCCGATAAGATTTCAAGAGCACATCCGGGTAACCCCGCCCCCTACGGGTCAACGAGCCGGAGGCCACATTGCCGCACATGCGCAGTCTCTCCAGCCTGCCTTCAGCCCGCAGACCCTCAGAAAGGCTGGCTGCTTTCTCCCGCCAGGCTTTCAAACGCCCGCCTCTGTAATACTCACACCCTGCTGCCTGGGGCCGCGCAGGCGCAGGGAGAAAGGTTGCTTTGAGCCGCACTTTGGCGCTCTCGGGCGCTGCTGGGGCTGACGCCGGAGAGCGGGTCGTCCGGCCCCGACCAGCGGCCGCGCCACGGAGGCGCAGGAGGGCATCGAGCCGGCGGGGGCAGCGGACGCCGCCGCTCCCCCGGAGCCGCAGCTCACCCTACTGGTCATGCAGCCCTGCGGCGGGCAGGAGGAGGCGGCGGGCGCCATCCTGCGGCCGATCCCCGCTCCGGCGGCCTCGGCGACCCCGACCCCTACCCCTACCCCTACCCCTACCCCGAGGAGCGGCAGCGCCGCCGGGAACCTCACGCCCCTGTGTGAAGCGGCGGGAGATGGCGAGGATGAGGCCGCCGAGGACGAGGCGGACCTGCTGGACACGTCCGACCCGCCGGGGGGCGGCGAGAGCACGGCCAGCCCAGAGGAACTGGAGGACGAGGAGACCCACTCGGGCGGCGAAGGCGGCCGGGTGTCCGCGGGGGGCACGGGCGGGGGCGGCGGGGGCAGCGTGAGCAAGACGTGCACCTACGAGGGCTGCAGCGAGACCACGAGCCAGGTGGCCAAGCAGCGCAAGCCGTGGATGTGCAAGAAGCACCGCAACAAGATGTACAAGGACAAGTACAAGAAGAAGAAGAGCGATCAGGCCTTGAGCTTGGCCGGCGCGGCGGCCGCGGCCGGCGGAGGCCCGGGCGGCGGCGGCGGCGGCGGCGG